AAGGAGGGGGCTTTGTAGAAAACGAAGCGTTTGAGAGAGGCGGGGCATAGAGGACCTACAATAATGTACAGTATTTGAAAAATAATGTGTTTTTTGAACATTAAAGCATGTCAACATATTCTGTTACACCAAATACACAAAATAATGATCTTTAAAAAAGCATCATATGACCCCTTTAAAACAATGTCATTAAATCTTGGGCACAATACAATAAATATAGTCGAGTGTAGCCAATATTTGTATTTATTTGATTTATTATTTAAGTTGCATTTTCTGTATACTTTTCTTTTTGGACTGTAAATAAAGTCAAAAAACAGTATGTGAGAGAGTCAGTGGTAATATCAATGCGTTCCTATTGGTCAGTGTTAGAGGAGCTCAGCTTAGCCTGACAGTTAGCCTGCTCCGGACCAGGTTAGTTTCCCAGCTTAAGTTGCCAGAGTGACTGAGCTTGAGCTATGGTGAATTTGCTTTATGGAATCAAATCAACTGACAATAAGTCAGACTAAATGAAATAAGCCTGACTTATTTGGTCGGGTTGTGTTTGAGTTTTGATTTAAACAATATTGTTGATTCACTAATTGCCAGTGCTTATATATTGTCAAATACAGCTCTAGATTTTGTATGTTTCATTATGGTTTGTAGGGACACTAATTTGAAAGGATTCTGGGGAGTTAAAGTCAGTTTGTACAGTTTGAGTCAGTTCATTTGGGAGGACATGTTTATCATCACTCTGGTCTACAATTTTTTAGAAGTCATCTGCTTCAGACATAGAATGTGCTATTTATTATGTATTTTTGATGTGACAATTCAAATATGACAATTAAAACAACTGATTGGCTACTGTTTCCAAGAGTTTGCATGTTCTCCTTGTGTCAGCATGGGTTTCCACAGACCCCACAGGTTAAGTCATTTAGAAAGTTCAAATTGTGTTAGTGTGTTTGTGAGAGTCCTGTGATGGACTGGCCATCTGCCCAGGGTGACTCTATCTGACTGTCACGAATCCAGTCTATGAACTTCCGTTCACTCACCACCAGAGGTCACACGCTCACTACATTGACTCTCACACCACACAGACTGTTACATGTCACTCCGGACTACAGTTCCCATCATCCATTGCACTGATTACACACACACAGC